AAGGGAAACCCATTGATTTCTAGAGAGGAGAAAAAAAAGATGAAGACAAGCTGATACAATCTTTTTCTCAAAGTTGATTTCCTTGCATAATGTTTAAGCAAGAATTATTCTGAGAGTAAGGCATGCCATTGATTCTAAATGAACATGACTCTAAAATGTATGCAAAGCATAAAAAAATAAAGAATGCAAAGCATAATATGATTAAAAGCATTAGGGTGTTTAGAAGGCATTAGAGTCAATTTCATAAAGTCTGGCAAGTGATTTGACTCATAAAACATGACCTTTGAACCTGGACTTTTTGTATTTACCAAACATATCAATGCACTGTAAACAATGATTTTACCTTAAAATAAAGTGTAACCCAGTAAAAATATAATTGACTGTTTTTGCTATTGTAGCCAAGTACATATAACAAGGGACTTTCCAAATTTCCATTTAAATTCTTGCTGTTTCTTGGAAAACTGCGAGTGAAAGATTTTTTTACACCTTTTTATTTCAGTGTAGATCATAATGTAAATAACAGATCAACTGTATTGATTACAAAAAGCAATCTGTTGAATTTGTATTGGAAGTATCACATGAACGCAACCAAAAATAACATATTTACAACATGACCATTTAATTAATTAGCTAATGAATTACTCTTGTATTAAAATATGATTTATAATAAAAAATGATTTATATGTATAATAAAAATAATAAAAAAAACTTCAAGGCTGGATAAATGTTTTTTTTTTTTTTACTCAGTATGACATTGTTAAAGCATGTTAAAGCCTTTGGGAAGCCATAAGTCACAGCATTTCCTCCGCTATAGCAGCATGTGATGTGAGTGTTGTCCATGGTGCTGAACTGAGTGCTGCAGTTCAGGGAAATTTGACTCTGCAAAATGTTGGCACGTGTTGGCAAGTGATAATTACTTTTCCATAGGTTCCCTCATATTCCCAACACACGCCTCATTTGCAGTGATCGACAACGTCGCACATGACTGTTACTGCTCGCTGGACCTTGAATGAAATGCAATAAGTCATTACTACACGACACCCATCCAGCCCTCCCATCCGCGCCATATAAAACCAACATCAGACGCCTCCAGTCGTAATAGATGTACGCGCGTTGAGAGAGAGAGAGAGAGAGCCACCAACAGCGTTTAGAAATGTCCAGTTTAAGTGTAGCCAGTTTTTGTCACTGTGGATTCCTCACATACCTTGTGCTGTTCTCTTTTTACATTTCAGTAGCGTCCTCAGTGAGCCTTGACTTGACTGAACTAAGAAACAAAGTTGCAAAGATCAAAGTTAACCCGAGAGGAAATTTATGGGCAACAGGTGAGATGCATACACGACTATTGTGCTACATATAACGTGACTTATACCTAGAACAGAAATGTGATTTGGCACTTAAGGTCATTTTATGGGGAAGAAAAGTGTTGTGGACAGCGAACAGTTGCCGACCGAGGATGACTCCACGATGAAAGCCATCGAGGCTGCACTGAATCCCCAGCAGGTCGAGCCCGCGGACCTCTACCAGGAGATGCTGAGGATCGCGATACAAACACACCTCGACTCTCAGGAGATCCGCCCTAAAGTTCCGGTAAGAACCGAGTCTGCAGTTTCTGTTTATTTTGAAGTAGTTTCTACTCTGGTCTGAAATTAATATGAGAGAGAATATTCTTCTGTTGTAAATAATTTTCATAAAAATGTGATTTGAATTAATTTGTTTGTTTGGCTTAAAATGTAATTATTAGTGCTGTCAAATGATTAATCGCGATTACTCGCATCCAAAATAAAAGTTTTTGTTTACATAATATATGTGTGTATACTATGTATATTTATTATGTCTATATAAATACAAACACATGCATGCATATATTTAAGAAAAATATGTTATTTTTATATATTAAATATATTTATAATATAAATTATATGAATATAATTATAGACATGTAAATACATGTAAATATTTTCAAAATATATACTGTA